TGTTAATAACTAGCTACAGTCTGCAGAATCCTCCTATGTATGATTAAAGTTCACAATTTACAGAGTAAAAGATAAAAACTTCTAAATCTGATTAAAAAAGGAAACCATATTTTTTTTCACTCAGGCTGTGGCAGTCATAGCCAGGGAAGGTGTGGCTAGGGCTGCATAAACAGAAACAAAGTGATTTAACTCATAAATGGCAGAGACATGAGCAGTGAGACTGCAACAACATTATTTATACACCAAAACTGCTTTATTAAGCTTAATTGTTTTGGTCACTATTGTGTTCCTCAATATGGAAATTCCATCACATGGACAAAATAACAAATAACAGTTTCTCGTTGACAGTGGTGTTTCTGTTACACAAATATCTGCATTATCTGAATAATCCACATTACCCTGCATACAGTCACTAACAGCAATAACAGTTCCATCCCGACCTGTAACATATCGGGGCTCGATCGAGAGACATGATCTTACTGTCCCAGTGCACATCACACTATATCACATCCCCCTCCAATTAGTTCTCATTTGGTGAAAAACTCAAGTTATTTTTTGTGACATTGCTGAATTGCCTTTTGGTAAAGATTTTAAGTTCTCATTTGGTGGAAATGTTGAGTACGTTCTCATTTGGTGGAAATGTTGAGTACGTTCTCATTTGGTGGAAATGTTGAGTACGTTCTCATTTGGTGGAAATGTTTTCTCTTTTGGTGAAGATGTTGAGTTCTCACATGGAGAGATGTTTTCTCTTTGGGTGAATATTTTTAATTATCTTTTGATGACGATCTCGAGTTCTCATTTAGTGACAATGTTGAGTTTTCTTTTGGTGAAGTGTAGTCTCTGTCTGTATCCACTTGTGGAGAAGACAGGCCTAAATCTAAAGTGTGGGATCACATTGTGCTGCCCTAACGTGGCGGAACAATAAGTGCAAAATAAAATTTCTTGTGGAATTTAATCACACTATACATAGTATAGAAGAATGTCCTCGATTCCTGAGATGTAGGCACATATTGAGGCTAGTGGATGTACAATTTCTTTTAGATCTAAGAGTCGCCAATTTGGCTTATTTGCCCAGGCAAGTGACAATGAAATCTGCAGCATTGCGGCATTTAGAACCTTACTGAGGTTGCAGTAACGCATGTCTCCGCTCACAATATATGGCTTTTGTAACAGGAAAGATCACGGCGAATGAGGCAACATAAAGGGTCATATAAGCAATAAGCGGAGCTCTGATTGAATTGATTGAAAAGATGATATGCAGTGATAAAGGGTATCAGTAGTGTTTAGATCGAGATACGGAATAGAAAGGTCTAGAACAGGGGCTACAGAAGAAGAAAGAGAGAAGCCTAAACACATCACTGGCTAATAACACAAATAAGAACATCTAAATAAATAAAAATGTGATCTGTGATAAAATAATAGATCTGTGATGTTCTCGTTTGATTGCATGACATAGTGAATTTGTATAGACACATGCCAAATAATGTAATTTAAAAACAAAGCCATCTAATGGATTGATATAATTGGGGAATGATGCCTATTCTTCTTAAATATACTTTTATATTTGATAAAACGTTAATATTAATTATTTAGTGCCGTGTTAGGAAGCCATACTCTCCCAGATCATATCTGGCATGGCAGAAACTCTGACATTGAGTATTTCAGGCAAACACATACAGGGTTAAATATTGTGATTTCAAAATTAATTTCACATTTTAGACCAAAATTGTTAAACTATATAAAAAAAAAAATATCGACTTGGAGTTTTTTTTTTAAAGTTTGACTGTTTGGCCAATGGAATTTGTGTATAACTCTATCACACGTCTCATTTAGTTTTGATGGTAATTGCAAGTCCGATAGAGGTTGCCAATGGTACACCACATGTCAACTTGTACCAGTACTTATTTACCTAGACATGGCAGGAGCAATTTGCAAAAATTGTAAAGCAAATCGGTATTTAGTTTTTTTCTTCTTCAGCGTTTGCATTTTTTCCATTTTTTTCTCATGTGATAAGTTGAAATGTGCAGCAAAGGGAAATTAAAACACACATGTTCTGCACAAGGAAGGGAGAGGGAGCCGCCATCCTAAAATCATAATCTGATTCTCAAAATCTGTGTCTCATGGTTCCACACTCCGGCCCATGTAACTACAAAACTACACGCAAATACAAAAAAAAATCTGATTAACCTGAATGTATGTGCCAATATGAAATATATTTAGCTACTGGAGATTTAGATAGAGATTTAGATAGATGGTTGCGCATGGAGTCTTCACCGTTACAGATACTTTGCAGGTTGACCCTTTGGATTTTGGTAGTTGGAGGGCATTGCTAATATCTGACATAACACACACATAGCCCCATGGTGAGGCCGTATTGTCACAGGAGACTAGATGGGTCCAAGATTGGCCGAGACAGAAGAATGGAGATAATGGCTAGCTATTTGCAACTAATACTGATGCCAGAACCCATGGATTAAATGATTAAATAAGAGGAGATAAATGTATTATATAAGGGCTTTTATTAAATGATAATCCCTTAATAAAAAATGTATAATTTGAGGAAACTCAGCTCAGCCTGAGTCAGCGGCTAGATTTAGTGAAATCGTTAGGACTTAAAAAGTCTTCACCTAGCACTTTCTCAAGTCTAGAGGGACTGAATTGAGGGAATATCATCATGCTGTTCTGAAATTAGGTCAGGTCTAAGGTGGAGACTGCACTTAACAGTGATATTTGTCTATTCCGCTCAGGACCTGCTCCACCTGTGTTCAATCAGGATTTGTCTTGTGGCACCAGATGGATTAATAATTCGTGAAGCTTTTTATAATAATGAAAACGTGCCCATGAAAATAATAATCGATCATTATGTTTGGTTCCAGAATGTCCATGCTGTTGATTTGAGAACACTTGAAACTTTCTTTACCCTCCTAAAGCTGGAGGGAATCGGGTTCTTCATAATTTGAAAGTATTAGAGACTCTGAGTAATAATGTCTGTTCATTCGTATCATCAGTGGATATCTGACAAGGTCTTCAGTCTGCTATAGAGGATACAATACTCATGAGAGCAGAGGAGTCTGAAAGTAACTCCTGACAATGTATCCTTTCCAGTACCGCTCTGACCTGGGGCCAGATCCCAGTCTACAAGGGATCACAAAGTCTTATAGGCCTAAAGGACCTTTACTGCCTGGACACTGGATGATAGGATGGACATTTATTTTACCACTTTAACATCTTCTCCAGACCCTGACTCTGTCTGTGTGTCAGGGAGATATATAAAATATGCTTTACAAGTGGATACATATCTAAATTATGGACTGTTGGTGGTCACCACAGCCTCTTTGGCAAACCAGTGTTTTTATGGATATTGTCCAGGTTGGTCTTCTTCCCAAATACAGAGTGAGAGGAGTTTATCTGTCTATTAACCCTAATAGGAGAATGAAGTTGGAACACAGAGGACAAGGCAGTTTGGAAGTTACTTAGGGCGAGCAGAGGATGCACGACTTCCTGTGTGGTCTGAAAGCCTCGTAGTCTGCTAAGCTGAAGGACTCTTGAGGATCACTTTGCCCAGGATGTAGCAATAGCGATGGACCTTGTTCAGCCTGAGCAGCAGGACTTGATTGATACATTCCTTACAAGTACAAAGCAGGCATAAGATGAACTCATTAAAATGGACCATAAATCTAGTCTCGAAAAGAGATCACTGGTTTAATAAATAAGGCTTCTGTGTTAAACAAAAACACTTCTCTTCGACCATGAAGACTATTAAACAAGGTGTAATATCCAAGCAGCGAGTCTTTGCACTCTGTGTAACTCAGCAGGCATCAGCCATGAACAGGTTAATTCTAAGAAGGAGGCCATGGCTCACTGATTTCATTAAAACAAAACACAAATTATTATTGATCGTCGCTCGCAGTAAATAAAGACATTAGCCATAATTGACGCTTTTAAATTGTGTATTTTCCCTTTGCTCCCAGACCCTCCCCGCGGGGGGGATAAAATTAATGTAATTCTAGTTTTGTGTGAGTGTTCAGGGCTCGGAATTAGTAACCCTCTCTGTGCTGGGAGAAGTCATTTAGCCGAAATTGATGGCAGGAGTAGGAAATGTTCTTGTAGTGTTTTTTGACTCTTTCTCCTGTATTAAAGTTTGCAATAAAACCAGTATAGTGTATCTCTAGTAAATGCTCGTGTTGGACCCCAGTATAGTGTTTCTCTAGTGGATGCTCATGTTTGACTCCAGCGTAGTGTACCTCTAGTGGATGCTCATGTTGGACCCCAGCGTAGTATACCTCAAGTAGATGCTTGTGTTGAACTTGAAACTGTTAATAGTCAGGTTCATGCATTTTATGTCTTGTAATATTTCAATTTTATTACAAATAGACTTGATGGAAGAACTTGAGGGAGATCCAAAAAGGAAAGCCTCTTGTATCAATATTTCTGGACCCTTTCCTGTATCCTGTGATGCTTTACATCGAATCTATTACCACTCTCGCAGTTTGGCCATTTTCATACCCCGGGACTTTATTTCTCACTTCGCATATTGCCACATTACTTCACTCCTATTAATACATGACATCTTCAACCAACAGTACTTCATAATTGATGAGTAAATCTCGGTATATCGGTAAATCATTTCATTTTATTCTCTTCTACTTCTTACTTGAACATTTCCATCTCTTCTTCATCACCTTAACAAAAATAATTCCCCAACCATTCCCTTTTTCGTCCATTAACATCCATCCCAATCCTTCCCTCAAAAACATTTACATTTAACCCTTTCACCATAAACATTTCCTCCAGATTATTTCCCCTTCCTCAGCTTTTCCTCCAGTGGGCATCCCCCTCATCCCCTTCTCTTGTTCACATAAAATATTTCCCAAACCATTCCCCGATCTACCATAAGCATTCTCTGCAATTCCTTGTCCTGCAATTAAAATCTAAACTTTCTTATATTGCCAACCTAGTCACGTGTTGGGTTGGAGGGCTGTTGGATCCTACTTCAGTGTTTAGCAGAGCTCCATTGCTGCGCTCCCAGTGGCGCAGAGCTCCATTGCGGTGCTTCCAGTGCCACTGAGTCCCATTGCTTTGTTCCCATTGGCATAGAGCTCTATTGCGGTGTTTCTAGTGGTACAGAGCTCCATTGTTGTGCTCCCAGTGGCGCAGAGCTCCATTGCTGTGCTCCCAGTGGTGCAGAGCTCCATTGCTGTGCTCCCAGTGGTGCAGAGCTCCATTGCTGTGCTCACAGTGGCACAGAGCTCCATTGCAGTGCTTCCAGTGGCACAGAGCTCAATTGCTGCGCTCCCAGTGGCACAGAGCTCCATTGCTGTGCTCCCAGTTGAACAGAGCTCCATTGCTGCGCTCCCAGTGTCACAGAGCTCCATTGCGGTGCTTCTACCATAAGTGGAACATAGCACACACACAATGCCCAATCATGCAAAATGTAAATCTCAGTTTGCCTGTGACACCAATAGAAATGGGCCAGACTCAATATACAATCCAAGCAGGAGAACAGTAATCAGAGAGCTTTATTCCATTTTTATGACCAAGATGTATGACAGAAATCAAGATTTGACGGCTGTGAATGATAGCGGGATATTTCATCCCATCACTGATGACACTGCTGCACATTTTATATTGCGTGGTCGCAGTAAATGCAGAGTGTGCAGGAATGCAGCCAGGTCATGTATCCGAGAACTGATGTTCCATGAAATGTATATAATGTGTAATGGTGATCACAAACAATTAACCCTTCCGCTGCCAGCGCCCAATACCAAATCATTAAACACTTTAATAGTTTGTCTGCTCTGTGTATATAATATTCTATTATTGCATATATTATTCTATTATTATATATAATATTCTATTATTGCATAGATTATTCTATTACATATATTAATCTATTATTATATATAATATTCTATTATTACACATTTTATACTATTAATATATATATATATTCTAAATTACATTATAAACACGTATACTACCTCTGCAAATCAGATTTTTAAACAGGACATACTTCATTCCAGGTGTACTATATATATATATATATATATATATATATATACATAAAATACACACAGTTGTAGTTGTCCTTGGCACTGCAGATGTTTGTGAACTACACATTCCATGATGCATTGCAGTTGATCCATGTAGTCCATGTATTTACAGTGACTTGTTTAACCGTCACTGAGGAGCAGATTGCGCTTGGCACACTGCACTGAACTGGTGCCAAAATGCTGTGTGTGACTAATGGGATCAACGACAAATAGACCCGTTCCAGGACAATCTCCCCAAATCACTAGTTAATGGGTTTCCATCTGCCGCTATTTTATCAACTGCACACCTTAACCTTAACATTAACTCTAACATGAGTATAAAATAATTATGTTTAACTTATACAACTGACAAAAAGAACTGATAGACAGAATTAATTCTACTAAATGTTGCTATTTCCATTATATTGCTATAAACATTTATAAGGCGCCCACATATTCTGCAGCGTTGTACAATGGGATACACACAGTACTCACAGGGTAACCCTCTAGACCCCAAATTAAATTAAACCTAAAATAGCAAAGTTTAGGGAAAAGTAGTTGAGCTGGAAAATCCTCCAACTCATTATAGTCACAGCTTGACTAGTTTAGCCTGACTTTTCCAGTTAGGATTTGAATGTGTTATAATCCAGCGTTGCACACTAAGGTCACTTCTCATTTTCTACCATAAATCCAATTTGCTGATGTAACTGTGGCATTTCAGATGTTAATTTTCTGCGTTTCTCATGATGCGCAGCCAGCCTTAGGCTGGCTGAGAGTTGTGGGAAATGTAGTTTAGGAATGTCTGGTGGTCCTAAACTTGCCCAGTGCTGGTTTTAACACGATGTTCCATGCTAGTGGTTGCTGCAGTGTTCCCCGCAGTGTCTCAGTTTCCGAGAATGATTAAATTATTATTTTCACCCAAGAAGCAGGACATATATTGAGCGCCCACATCGCAGGTTTTACTATAAATACAATGTATTCTCCCCCAGAAATCACTAACCTGCTCGATACTTATTTAACAGCAGGAAACAATCCCCGTAGACACGTCGCTGCTAAACAGTTTAATAAAAGTATAGGAGCGATTCATCTTACCTCCTATCTTGTCTGATTGCAGTTCTCGTAGTCCGTCTACGGCTGTGGGTTCTGACAGTCCTGGGTCGTAGGATTTTACAGGTATGTTGTAGGATGCACATCTCCAGGCATTCTGATTGAAGACTAACGAGGGATCCAGCCTGCTCCCAGCGAGAGGTACTGCATGAGTCAGACAGAGAGGAGTGGTGTGTGTATGTACATATGTATGTATATAGAGGTTATCACATCCCATGTACAGCATCGCTGCAGTACTCTGCCCTGCATCCTAAGGAAAGGGACCCGCAGAGCCACTCTTTGGGTTGCCACCTTTGCCCGGCCACTTTAGATTTACATTTGCTGCCATTGCCAAAGCAGCGTGAGAGTTGAATTTCAGAAAAAGTGGAGTAACAGTGTTGGTCCAAATGCTGGCTGACCACAATGAGAGTCTGGTGAAGCTGACGTGACCGTGGTTGGGCGTAGAATGACTGAGCATCATGAGAGTGGTAGTCCATGGCAGTTACCTTGACAGAGGTTTCCTCGTAATAAGCTGGAATGATGCTGAGGATGGGGAGATTTGTTTGCAGAAACCGTTGGAAGCACTAAGGTTTTCCAAGTTGTGGCTGAGCATGATAAGAGTAGCAGTCCATAGCAGTTTGAGTGATAGGGACGGCCAGTCAGTTATAAAAAGAAAGCTCTATCAGGTTACAGTTTGGCCATTGTATTATATGTGGATTGGGATAAAGTGGGCACCAGTTTCAGGATAATTAGGGTTTTTTGTTCTCCTACTCTACGTAGGGAAACGGATCAGATTTCAAGGATATTGCAAGGGCAGAGTGATTTAACTAGCTGAGCAATTAATCTATCCAGCGCCGCAGACTATGGTGGCGTGCTGTAACAGATTATAATAATCTGCTCAACCAGGGGTCTGGACATGAGACATGTAGGGCAGGAGTGTTAACTGGGAACTGCTGGGGTCCTGCTTTTTGGCAGCTCTGACACAGGTCCAGAGATGGAATATGTCATTGTGTTATCAGATCGTTACTATGAGATTAAACAGATCAACCTCAAAAGGGAAGGGGTCAAATGCATCAGTCTTATCTAGGGTTCTCAGACCCGCCATGTTTTCCAGGACACATATCACTTACATAGATCGATGGGCAGAGCATGAAGAGTGCTGCCAAGCAGTATGTAGATATCAAATGCCACAGGAGGGAACTAGATTCATTCGTCATTGAGGAATCCTGCAGCATATGATTCCTCCATACAGCAAGGCAGCACTTTAATGCTCTGTTCATTAATATGTAAAAATGAGTTGAGGACATCATGTTGGAGCTGGCAGCCAAACCCTGCCAGATGCCCGTTGCAGGACTAAACTTGGCACCCACATTCCTTTTTATTAGTCATTTACACTGTCACATTATCCGTCCCAGCAGATATTAAACATTAGGTTAATATTCCGATTAGCGTCGGCCGTGACGGTACAGTAACCAGATTCCCTCGTCAGTTAAAGCGGATTAGATTGCCAGAATAGATTGATGTGGATAGATGTATGCAGAAATTCGGGGACAATAAAAACTGCTGATTCAACCTTCCCCAGATGTTTTGCCTGCATTAGGGCTGTAAGAACAGGATAGAAGATGTGGTCCACAACCACTGGAGTGCTGAAGGTTGCCCATTCCTGATGTAGAATAAAACGATTTTGCTCACAGGCCTTGCCGACAAGGAGTTAAAAAGTGAATGCAGGTAAGTTAGCAACTGGTCGGGTCTGACTGGTGTGTTTTACCTTTAAGGCAGTGCTGTACCTTTAACCCCTTAAGGACACATGACATGTGTGACATGTCATGATTCCCTTTTATTCCAGAAGTTTGGTCCTTAAGGGGTTAAATGTGGTGTACAGGGCAATACTTTACCTTTAAACAACGCGTACAGGGCAGTGCTGTACCTTTAAATGCAGCGTACAGGGCAGTGCTGTACCTTTAAACACTGCGTACAAGGCAGTCCTGTACCTTTAAACGCCACGTAGAGGGCAATACTTTACTTCTGCACAGTATGAGGATTTCTAGCGTTACTTTACGGAGTTAAACTGGGTGCCTATAGTGGCTCTTTAATGAGGCCAATGTCTATTAAATGCATTAAAGCTGTATTGGTGCCCGGAGTGTCCCTTTAACCCTAAATTGCAGAGAATCGAACAGGTAGACAGCAGGGGGATGATCTACATGCCAAAACTGCTTCATTAAGTTGTTTTGGTGGTTGTAGTGGATCCTTTCCGGTATGGTGTGAATTCTACTGACGGCTGGGAAGCACGTTTTACACATGAGGCGTTTAGCCAATAAACAATGAATTGTGGCAAATTGGAAAACCAGATGTATTTGAGAATATTTTCAATAGATATATTGACCTATAAAGAGGCTTTTGTTTCACTACAGTTTTTTTGTGAATAAACCATTTAGCAGCTTTAAATGAATGTATTAAGAGCAATCTGATTGAATAAATTCAGGTTATTCACTAGGGTTGACATTGTATCGAATTGAAAATGAAAATGAGAAATTTAGGTCAAAATACCTGATTTGGAAAATAGTTCCAGCTCTTGTATAGTCACAGTTTGAATATTTTAGCAAAGATTGTTCGATTTTAGCTCACAATACAGGTGCATTCTGCCTTCTGTGCATGCTGATAAAAAAAGCCTGTAATGAGCTGAAATAAGGACATCAGAATGCTATTTACTCATTATTTACTGACTGCAACCCTGAAAGAGACGTTTATTATAAGCATCCGTGAATATAATGTGAGCGGAGAAATGTCGCTGTCTGCAAATGGAATAACTGACTGTGCTTTAACCCCTTAAGGAACAAACTTCTGGAATAAAAGGGAATCATGACATGTCACACATGTCATGTGTCCTTAAGGGGTTAAAGGGTTACTCCGTGCACCATGACCAGTGATTTAAAGCATCATGTAGTCTGAATGTGCAGCATTTCTCTATGAAAAGCTGCACATACAGAATTTAACCCCCTTGCTGCCAGAGCTGTAACTTCACCTCTGGCCGCGTCATTACGGTGTTATTAACCCGCCTCACCGACTAACGTCCGTTCTGTGTAAATGGACAGAATTGTCTTCATTGGCTGAGAGCGGGCACCTGCAGCTTTGAATAGCTGGTGGGATTGGCGTCTGGTTTCAGCAGCAAGAAACCGAATGTCGTCACTGGAGGACAGTGGGCGTCTGGATGAGACCCAGGTAACAGGGTAAATCATTATAAAATTATTTGCGCCATT